AGAGGGGACGTGGTGCGCGGTGCAGGCAGAGCAGGGGAGGGTTCGGGGGGCAGAAGGAGCCGCCATGAAGGGTTCCCGGGCCGTGAGGTGGAGGCACGAGCCGGCGCCTGGGCAAGGCTGGGCTGGACAGAGAGAGGTCTGCACCAGCAGGTCTCTGCACACATGCACACGCATCCACGCGCACTCAGACCACACACACGTGTGAACAAGTACACGCAGCCACATACACGTGTGTGCACACAGGCCTTCAAGGGCCTGACTTCCAGTTGCAGGATCCCCACCCTCCTGGAACCCCTCTCATGCTGGGGAAGGGAACCCCCTCAGGAGAATGAAGATGAGGGGAAATTCCCTGCACCCAAACCTGGCCTCCAGGGACAAGGCGGCCCCAGTGCCTGGGGCCAGCCCAGCCTGGAAGCTTCAGCTGGGCTTGTAACAGGAGGTGCCTGCTTGCCCTTCCCTTGGCTTATTTGCAGCACCTCATCCCTGGGGCGCTCTCCTCAGTCCCCCTCCCAGCTGCTGCCTACAGTCCATGCCTTCCTCCCTAACTCGACCTCGCTCCCTTGTGGACCACACGTGTCTCACACTTCCCTGCAGCCCTCACACTAGCAATGGATGCTCACTCACCATCCCTTTCTAATCCCCCCTTGTTTACTCACTGTCAGAAATGACCTGAGTTGAATATGAATTTCCCCTGAAAATACAGATCCCCATTCAAGGAAACTTGTGGGTTCAGAGAATGGATAATCATGCTGGCAACCACTTGACGAACATACACATGAACCCTACACTCTGCACGCAAGCCTCTTATTTAAACGTGCAACTCACACCATTCTCCAGCTGGTCACAAGCATGGCTAGAATTTAAGCCCAGGGCTGTCCTGTGACTCTAAAGCCTGGGCTTTTTTTTTTTTTAACTTTTTTTATTGACTCATAATCATTTTACAATGTATCAAATTCCAGTGTAGAGCACAATTTTTCAGCCATACATATATTCAGTGTCACATTTTTTTCTCTGTGAGCTACCATAAGATCTTGTGTATATTTCCCTGTGCTGTACAGTATAATCTTGTTTATCTATTCTACAATTCTGAAATCCCATCTATCCCTTCCCACCCTCTGCCCCCTTGGCAACCACAAGTGTGTATTCTATGTCTATGAGTCTGTTTCTATTTTGCATTTATGCTTTCTTTCTTTGTTTTTGTTTTTTGGTTTTTTTTTAGATTCCATATGTAAGCGATCTCATATGGTATTTTTCTTTCTCTTTCTGGCTTACTTCACTTAGAATGACATTCTCCAGGAGCATCCATGTTGCTGCAAATGGCGTTATCTTGTCGGTTTTTATGGCTGAGTAGTATTCCATTGTATAAATATGCCACATCTTTATCCAGTCATCTGTTGATGGACATTTAGGCTGTTTCCATGACTTGGCTATTGTAAATAGTGCTGCTATGAACATTGGGGTGCAGGTGTCATCCTGAAGTAGGGTTCCTTCTGGATACAAGCCCAGGAGTGGGATTCCTGGGTCATATTTCCTAGTCTTTTGAGGAATCTCCACACTGTTTTCCACAGTGGCTGCACCAAACTGCATTCCCACCAGCTGTACAGGAGGGTTCCCCTTTCTCCACAGCCTCTCCAGCATTTGACATTTGTGGACTTTTGAATGATGGCCATTCTGACTGGTGTGAGGTGATACCTCATTGTAGTTTTGATTTGCATTTCTCTGATAATTAGTGATATTGAGCATTTTTTCATGTGCTTTTTGATCATTTGTATGTCTTCCTTGGAGAATTGCTTGTTTAGGTCTTTTGCCCATTTTTTGATTGGGTTGTTTTTTTCTTATGAAGTCGTATGAGCTGTAAAGCCTGGACTTTGAGGCAAATTGCTGTTTAGTGCCTCAAACTCTATTGCTGAGGAAATCATCCTCTTTCAGGGCAGGGGTCTGGGATGTTTCACCCAAACCACGAATTATGTTTAAATGCTAAATAGCAACCTGTTCATTACAACACCTGTGTTTCACCAGATTCTAACAGACTCCGGAAGCCCTGGATAGAAGTCAGGAATCAGGGGGCTAGTCCTCTCAGAACTCTCCAGGCCAACCTCCCAGGAGGACGTCCTCTCTGCACTTCCTCAGCTCGGCACCTGGCAGGTCAGTGCATCAGGCATTGTGATCACATGAAGAACTGAGTAAAAGACGTCAGCTCAGGGACCATCAGGGTGGAAGAGCCCTGGACGTCACCCGGTCATTGGCGGGTTCCTTCTAAAGCCCTGTGCCATGTGACCTTCCAGCCCCTGCTACAGAACATCTGGAAAAGGAGGGCTCGTCCCTCTTAAGACAGCTGCCTTTCACGCAGCAAGTTTATCCTGGCACTGAGCCGAGACCTGCCACCTTGTGACGTCCATCTCCTGGCCCCCCTCCCCCACACCAACCCCCAGTTCCTGAGTGCACCCACCTGACACCTTGTGAGCTGCTGCTGGGCTGTAGTCCTGGTACTGGGGGGCGTAACAGTGCGGGGAGAACCCACTCTTGGCGTTCTCCCCAGGGCGCACGACAGACGTTGGCTGTGGTGGCGGTAAGTGTCTCAGAGGCTGGTCCAAGCCCCTCATGGGACTTTGGATGAACTCATCTGAAAGGCCAATGTCAGGGAGTGAGGGGAGAGCAGCCCCCTTCACACATGGTGCTCAGGGCCACCAGAACTAGAGCCCGAGACTTCTGAGCCAGAGTAGAAAGGGGAAGCTGGGTGTGGGGAAGGCGGGGCAGAGACACCACCTGTTCCAATAAGGCTCGGAAGGGCAGGTGAGGCAGGGAGTGAGGAACCAGGATGGGCCCCGGCATCCCAGACCTGCCACTCACCGTTAGGGACGCTTGCACTCAGCAGCTTGTCCGGCATCAAAGGGCAGTTCCCACTGCCCCTGAGACTCTTCATCCTTTTCCACAGCAAATGTGAGGGGCTGCTGCCCGGCGGGTCCCCCTGGGTGTGGGAAGCACGTGTTGAGGGGGAGGCTGGAGCACGAGTCCTCACGCTGTGTAGGGCAGGGGTGGACACAGAGCAGCCCCTCCCTCCTGCCCCAGGGCCCCCTGCCCCTCCCCTCCCTCCTGCCCCAGGGCCCATGGAGGGAACCCATGCAGCGCTGTCCCGAGCTGGAGCACCTCTCTCCCATCCTGGAAGGCTTGCTCCTCATACTCCAGCTGTCGCTTCAGCTTCAGCTTGTTGGAGAGGGCGACCATGGCCGGGCTCATCACGTCTGGGCCCTGCGGCCCAAAGCCCTTTGCAGACCTGCCAAGCCTGAGAGAGAGCAGACGTGAGGGAGCCTGGAGCCCCACACCCAGGGCGCCCCCGAGGGCCCTTCCAGAACAAACACTTATGACAGTGGTGGCTCTAAGACCCCAAGGGCAGAGTCAGAGGAGGGGTGGTGGGCTTGAGGCCCTGAGCTGTGGTGCTGCCTCTTCCTCATGATGGTTCAAGTCACCCTCACCTCCCACCTACCCAGCTGTATGTACCCAGGCAGCCTGCAGTCCTAGCCTCTTTTGAGGCTGTCCAGCTGGGTTTCAGCAGTCTTGCAGCAAGTTTCTTCTGCCCCATCTCCCCTGGAATGCCCCCCACTGAGGAGCAGGGGGCTGCTCCGTAAAAGGCAAGGGCCCCAGAGAAGCATAACTAATAGGCCCTGGGACCTGGAAGTCCCATACCAACCATATGACAGCCCAGAAAGCTCCCAGCAGTTAGAACGGGGCTTACTGGGGGAGACTGGGAGGAGCTGGGAGAAGGCAGGATGGGGATGGCGGTGCTGGGCACGGGGCAGCTGAAGGTGGGGGAAGGCATGGGCACCTTTTCACTGTTCTCAACCAGGGTTCCCTGAGAGAACCGTCACTCCATTTTTTTTGTGTCCTACAGCTCAGGTAATGAATCCTGGATGAGAAAGGTGCTCTGAGGGGGGGTCAGGAGAGAGGGGCATTGGTGTTCAAGGCCTGAAGAAGCCAATTCTCTCCTTTTCCCTATCCTCAGTCCCCTCTTGGTCCCCTCCAGCCCTGATAAACTGTCCCAATTGAGCCCTCACACATCTTAGGGCGGTTCCCCCACAGCCCCAGCTCTGGGAGTTCAGAGAAGGGCTCGAAGTAGCAGACCTCTGATGAGGCGGGGCCCTGACCTCCCTGCAGTGGGCACCTGTTTGCCCCTCCCTGTTGAGCACAGCCTTTGCTAAAGCAGCCAAGCGTGTCTGCCACTCACTTCTTCTTGAACATGGAGATATGGGGCGCAGTGATGGGGGGCATCAATGGCGATGCCCCCAGGGGCTCGGCATGCTGGTCTTCAACAGGCCACTTCGTGGGCCCAAAATGTAACGGTGGATCAGGGGGCCACTGAGTGTTGGATCTGCCTCCCATGGAGGAGAGAGGGGTGCAGGTCTGGCCACAGCAGGGCGGCAGGGACCCCTTGCTCCCACCGTCAAAGAAGATGAAGGACACGGGCCGCTGTGCAGGCTCTGGCTTCTTGCTTTCCACCTGCTGCAGGTACTTGTCCAGGAGGAAGGGGCTGGGAGATGCCGTGGGGGCCAGTGGCTGAAAGATGTTTGTCATTGCACTGAAGCAGTGCTGCGGGGTGGACTGGGGGTTCTCCGGCAGGAGACTCTCCTCTGGGCAGATGGGACTGAGCTGGAAGTCCTCCCCGTCCATGGGGATGTAGGGGGCCAGTGTCTCTAGGTCCAGCTCATTGAAGTCCGTCTGAGGAGACACACAGCACAGGCAAGGCACTCAAGTAATTGGAGCTGCTTCAGGGGTACTGTTCCACCTTAGCCCCCATTCCTCCCAGCCCCTGCCAGAGCCATTCCTCCCTCTACAGCCTGGCAGTGCTGCTGCCTTTACTGGTTCCCTGAAGCCCAGCAGCAGACACCTCAGACGCGTTCCGGCGTGCGCCACCAGCCTGCCGGTGGCTTTCCTCCCTTCCTCAGCCTGTGCCCGAATCTCCATGCTCCCTTCGGTCATCTTGTCACCACCACCCCAGCCCAGCCCTCTCTCCCTGTCCAAACCTCACCTTTGCTCCCACAGCCTGGGCAAGCCTACCTCTTCCAGCAAGCCGTCCCTGCCTACTCTGGCCCCTGGGGAGCCAAGGGCAGCTTTGTCCTCCTCTCCAGCACACAGCAGGTGCCTGGGGTGGACCTGTGGACTGCTTCTAGAGTAACCATGGCCCCAGTGGTAGAGGGCCCTTAGGTTCCCAGTATCGCGATGGGCACCACGGGAAATACACACAAGCAGACACAGAACGTTTCAACCCTCCCTGGGGGGATGCAGCTTATCGTGGGTTCAAGTTACGATCAAGCGCTACGTAATGGATCTTGTAGTTCAGAGAAGAGAGTTGAGACAGGGAGTTTTGCACAATAATGATCAAACTGAGAGGCAAGGTGGAAATCTGGATGAATAACCCACATAAAGACAAATGGGGATTAATGATTTTCCTCTGGGCTTTCTGAAACACATACCCGTCCACCCACCCTTAGCCCTCTTTACATAGTTTTTGCAAGAACATTTGGCTTCATGTTAGAAATGTGTTTCTGAAAAATTATGTGTAGACAAAAAATTTGTCAATCAGATGTCATTTTGAAGTACATTTAAAAGTTATTTCAGAGAAGCCTAAGATAGATATGTTTGTAAAGGGAGTAACTGTTCCTTACGCTTACAGAAGTCTTACACAGTTGGGGTATGCTCCTTAAAAAAAGGCTCAGGTGTGGTTTTTGTGCACTAGGGGATCCGCGTTAGTAGGACGAGACTAATTTGAGAGGTAGGAGCAGAAGAGCTGGACTTGGTGTGGGTGAAGCAGGTGCTCACAGGCTCCTACTGCCTGCGCCCTTACCTGGCTAAGGACCATGGCCCAGCATTCCCCCCGGTCTTTGCCACGAAGGGCCGAGGCTACAAGAACGGGTGGGAGCCTTCACCCCCGCCAGCTGCCAGGCACAGTGCACCACCCCGCTCTTCTCTCCATGGCCACCTACCTGGGTGCTGCACTGGTCCTTGGCCTCTGTATCCATGGCAAAGAGCTTTTCAATCGCTTCAATCTTCAGATCATTATCTAGAGACGTGTAATAGTCTCCAGGGCTGCTGGGCTGGGGGCCAGGGAGGAAGAAGCAAAGTCAAGGCTCTGGCACTCTGTCCCCCGAAGTCCGAGGGGGAAGGAGAAATGCATCTCTGGACCCAGAGCTTCAACTCCATTCCACCGAACAAGAACACGTAGTGCGGCCGCGCTCTACGAGCTGTGTGAATTAGGTCAGTTCATCTACTTCTTTGACCCTCAGCCTCCTCATTAAATGAGGCTGTCGTGAGGAGCAAGCTCTGCGTATCTATGCCCCAAGCAGGATGATTACTGCCTTGCACCGAGCTGTGTGCGGCTCGGCCCCCGTCTTCAAGGCCCTTAGCAGGTGTCACAGCCATGCTCCGGGGCTCCAGGACAGCATGAGTAGGAAGAGGGCGGCAGCTCGGTCTGGGCTGTCCACTCAGCCATCCTGCAGCAGCCAGAGGGAGGGGCCCGCCCTCTCCATGGCCTCAACCCAAGGGGTGCTCACCGTGGAGCAGCTGCTGCTGGTGGCACTGGGGGTGGTACTCCCCGGGGCGGCAGCCTGGGGCACGGTGAAGGCAGGCAGGCTCCTGGCCTCGCTGTGGGCGCCATGGCTCCTCAACCCTCCGGCCCACTGCTGGCCGGGGGGCGGGATGGCCTTGCCGTAGGCTGAGGACTCCTCGAAGTTCGGGCTCCCTGTGGAGACAAGCACCTGGCTCGGTTAACACCCACAGCCACTGGGCTCAGCCCCGGGACAGAGAAAGCCCAACAGATACACAAGAGATCCTGAAAGGGGCTGGAGCAGGCCTGGGGCCCGGCGCTCTGGGCTGAGCTGGACCAGAGGGCCTTCAGCTGGGGTGTGAGTCAGTCTCCAGCTTTGCTTCACGGGGAACACTACCTGGGCCTTTAGTTTTTAGAGATTAAATACATTAGGATCTGCTCCTCCTTGAAAGGCAGGCTAGAATGTAGAGGAGGCGGTTATGAGAACTGGGCAGTTTGCCTCATTACTGCACAAAACAGGGAAGCTCCCAGGCTCTCTGTCTCTTTGTGATTCTCTGGAGTCACGACTCACCCATGTTCTTAAGAACACATTGAACAGGGCTGAGACAGTCCAGAGCCAGCACAGGGAGGTACAGCTATTCCTCACGTGGCCACAGCCGGGCTGAGGGTGATGGTGGGTCGCAGTGTGGGAGATGGGGCTTCCCAGGTATACATCAAGGGTGCTGCTAGCACGGAGGTGGGGCCGAAAGGACTCTCACCTCTATAAAGGAGTGCATGTAAGGGCTTACTCCTGGGTCTAAATCTTCCCTCCCAACATATCAACCCAGCCCTCTGCCTAAATAACCAATCTGTCCTTCAAGGCCCAGGTGGAGATCTGTCCTCTCTGTGAAAACGTGCCAGTGGCCTCGGAACACATCCCTCACTGACCCACTCTCTTGTCTCAGGCTCCCTCTGCCTGCTGTAGAGAACCAGCCCCTCAGGAGGGAGTTCTCTGGAGCTCTATCTGGCTCAGTGCTTTATAAGATCAGAAATAGGACAGTCTTAAACCAGGGTAAGTGCATGTGCCCAGCACAGGGGCTGGTGACTAAGAGATGATAAGCAAGACGCAGGGGCTGCACAAGGTAGCTCTGGTTAAGGAAAAGCTGTGTCCATGGAGGCATCCCCAACCCAAGAGGATCTGAGGGGCCCCGGCTCAGCTAAGAAGCACCCACCGAAATCCAGAGAAATGATGGCATCTCCGGCCATGGGGGCCAGCTGGGCCAGCTCCTCGGGCTCTTCCTTCAGCTTGCTGAACAGGAAGCTGCTCTTCTCAGACACAGGCACCTTGCCACTGTTGTCAAAGATGCTGTCCATGGCCATCAGGTGTGACTTGAATGGGGACTCCGTCTGGTCCATGGAGAACACCACGTCATTCTTCTCAATCTCACTGGTGGGATAAGAGGGTGCTTCAGACCTTCCATAGTTTCCAGCAAAATCCTTTTGCTCCCCAGACCCATGGAAGCCCTGAGAGCTAAGCCTCCCAGACAGAAACGTGGGTATGGACACTCTGTCGGCATTTTGTAAAGAGCGCCCTACGAGAACGTCTGTCTTAGATGCTGTTTTAATATTGTACGCGGCTGCATGGGGAGCAAGAGGCTTGAAGGCCTTTGTTTTCATTTGCTTCACCCCACAATGCCTTTCTCTAGCTTTCTTCCCAGGTGCCATGGAGGGAAGGTGTTACATCTTCTCCCAGAAAGTACAAGCGATTCTCTGCCCGTGGTCCCCATTCAGAAAAAACTAGGTGGTGACAGTGTTCTACCTGCCTCCCCAGGTGGGTCAGAGGCATGACAGAGATGACAGACAATGGGGAAGGGGTAGGAAAAACGTCTAAAGAGGCAATCCCAGTGTTCCACTGTTCCTGGGACATCCATGGGAGTCCCTTGGGTCCCAAGGATTAGCACTGCTGAGAGCTCGCAGCTGTGGTGCCCAGCTTCTGGGTGGCTCAATGCTCCTGGGCCTGCATTCTCAGTCTGGCACCCTCCCCAGCTCAGGCACCCTGCACCCCCAGCCCCTGGCCCTTGCACACTCACCTCAGGACGTAGTTCACGCACATAATGCACTGGGGCTGCAGGTTGCGAGGGTTGTAGATGACCGTCCCCTGCGTCTCCAGCCACACGTAGCCCCCATGCTTTGCAAGCATCCGGTACTGGCCACTCACCACCTGACCCTTGGTGCACACTAGGGGAGGAGATGAGAAGCCTGAAGTCCACAGGGGAGGTGGGGGAGCAAGACCCCAGGGGGAAGGCAGTCTGCGAGGAAATGGATGGGACTGGGTGCCCGACATCGAGGCCCAGGGAGAGTGAACTGGAGGGGAGCTTACAGATCATCTCACCCAGCTCTTCACGTTAAACATGGGAAAGTGGTCCACAGGGTTAAATGACTGGCCCTCGGCTGTCAGAGTAAAGGTGCTGTAAATATTTGTGTGCAAATCTTTGTAGGGACATACACTGTGGGGGCCGCTAGGGGTGCAATGCCGGGTCATAGGGTAAGTGTATGTTTCCTTTCCAAGAAGCTGCCAAGTTATTTCCAAGTGGTTGTATCATTGCCGCCTCATCTTTTTAACAAAATCCTGTGCTGTACAGTGGATAGATACCATCTTCTGACGTGAGGGAACTAAGGCCAGAGGGATTAGGGCCTGCTCTGCATCACACGGGACTACAGTCAGGGCCATGTGACAGTCTTGTGGCTCCTGATTCAGTGCTCTTCTACCACCTTCCCCCGGAGCGACACTTCCCTGGGAAGACTAAACTGGCTGTTGCTGCCATCCTAAACCATCATGGACCTCTCAGCCTGGAGAAATAACTCTGCTCCTGATCTCCCTTTATCTGCCCCACTGAGGCTCCCTTACTGCAGTGAAATGATTCTTGTACAATTTCAAGTGCTGTAGTTAACTTACTTAGACTGTTCTTAATGCAGACAAAATTCAAGGCTCTTATTCTTTTTGATTACACTGTGCAATGAGCAAAGATTTTAACTGCATTTCTAGTGACTGCAGGCAAGGGCCTGCTGTCAGTAGAACATAATTACGCCAGCTTTCCAATCATCTGCTCATTAATGCCAGCCTTGGTGCAGGGCCTGCTACTTGGTAGATAGGAAAACAAGATTAAAGGCCATAAAAAGCCTAAGAGCACATAATGTCCTCACACAACAAAGAGAAACCAACCCCCCTTCCTGCAAACCCTTACCCTCTGAGGGTAACAATGTATAAATTACTAGGCCATTTGGAAATGATGGCTTTCAACTATCTAAATCGGGTTTGAGGACTGAGCTTCCCCAGTAATTTCAATGGTAAACCTTCACAGGCTAAGACGCACATACGTGCATAAATTTGAGACACGTGTTTAAACTTGGGCCAGCCTCAAGCCTGGGCCGCCAATTACTCCAGGGCATGAGTGTGGATCTGTGCTGTAAGTCTACCTCCAGAGACCCAATGAGAGGGAGGGAGGGAGGGGGGAGAGAAGAGGCGGGGAGAGAGACAAAGAGACAGAAAGAGAAAGACTGAGACGGAGAGAGAGAGAGAGAGAGAGAGACAGAAATAGATGCTTCTGTTTAGCTGGCATTAACCCACTTGCCAGCCCATGCAGACTTCCCGTTGCTGGACTTGGGCTGGCTGGGTACAGACCTCCGAGCTCAGAGCTGCTTAACTTGGCTCCATCAGGGAAGAAGGAAACTTGTGATTTCTGTTTGGTTTGTGAATTACCTTGAAGTGTGCCTAATGCTGAAATATATGGATTCAATAAAAAGCACATTTTCCCTGGATTCAGCAGAAAACTGTGACAATTTTTTAACCCAGCTCTTTTTTTTAAGGATCAAAGATTTTTTAAGAGAAGTAGAAAAAGAAATCCTTTTCATGTGCCTAGTGAGACGTCATCATTTTTGTTTTCTGACAGTAATTTCTTCCACTTTCCCACCCCAGAAGATAAAGTATAATACTGTCCTGCAAAAATTCCCAGAAATTTTTACTATTCTCCCCTACTTTGACTCACCCTCGGCTGAGAAGGAACGCTGGGCTTTTCCCCAGTTTTACATCCAGAGGAGGGCAGCCCCAGGAAGCCAGGCATAGAGGAATCAGTGAGCCACCTGGGCCAGAGCCAGGTCCCCGAGTCCCAGTCTCAGGATGACCTTGGGAGCAGGAATGGCCATGGACCAGAAAAGCATGTGGAATCCATCCTACGATTTCAAAACTGGGGCAGCCTAAGGCTGAGTCACAGCCACGGGCCCAGAAAAGCACCTCCACCTCCCTCCTCCATTCCTGGGTCCCAGAATGGGGCTCAATCTGGGCTGTTTGTTTTTCTTTTTTGCCAGACAGCACAGTGGGAAACTTCTCTAAGATATCATAAGGGGCCCTGCTGCACTGTCAGGTCAAACCCAAAAGCCATGAGGAAGAAGCAACTGGAAAGGGAAGATCTCACTCCTCAAGAGGTCAACTCTGGACAGTTTATGGACTGCTCATCTGCTAGCTGCTATGACTACAGCTGTCCCAACCCTGAGACAGATGGACGCACTCAGAACAGTGGGCCCGGAGCTGCGCCTCCATCCCCCGACTGCCGCTCCAAGACACAATGTACCCAGGAGCCCAAGACCAGCAAGGCCACCGGGAGTCTTCTCAGACTCACCCGTTTTAGACCCCTCTGTAACCCTCTCAGCACCTCCATCTGCACTGAGGGCAGTTATTTTGAAGCATTCTTCCCCAAATTATGTATATTTTCCCCTGGAGTCTATCATTCATTTAGTACCTGTACTGTTCCAAACAGCACACTGGGGACTGAAGGTGCGAGTCACTTCGGTCCCACAGCCCACTGCGCCCCCCTCCCCCCAGGAACGAGAACCCGAAGGACAGGGATCCATCCTATCGATTTCTGTTTCCCCCCGATGGTGAAGCACAGGGTTACAGACCTAGGGTCCCTGCACGTTAATGGGCTGTATGGAATCAGGAAAACCATCCTGGATCACCTCCAAATGGGACGCCTTAACTGGGAACATGGCCAGCCGAATGCATTAGAACTGCCCTGTCCAGTATGGTAGCCACTACCCAAGTGTGGCTACTTAAATATAATTAAAATTAAACTTAAAAAAATTCAGCTTCTCAGTTGCACTAGACATATTTCAGATACAGCAGAGGTCACATATGGAATATGCAGATGGAGAACGTTTCCATCACAGAAGGTTCTATTGGGCAGCCCTGTTCTAGAATCCCTTCATAATTCAGGTTTTCCTCCAAGCTGCAAGGCACAGCTTCCACATGCCATCACTGGGTTGCCCGGATAGCTTCCTCAAACTGAGTTCTCTTACCCCAGCAAGCAAGCTCTCAGGGAGCCACGCTGGCACTGTACAGCCTTCCCCTCTGCTTAGCCCAGTGCTCCTCCATCCTTCATGTGCCCGTTCTCTCTTCTTCTCTGAAGGCTGGGGTTACACGCTGTCCTGTATTACGCTCTAGGGGGCTGTTGCAGAAGGTCATGCAGACTGCTAACTGCACAAGGGTGCTGAGTGGAGGCGCTAAGTGGAGACTGAGATTCAGCCCGCCTTGCATTCTCCAGCTGTTCTCCTTGGTGTGCCTGTCCCTCAGGGAGAGGGGCCCTTTTCCCAATCTGCATGAATGTGTCGTACAGGCCAGTGGCAGCCTTGGTTCTCTAACGATCCTGAGGCCGTGAGTCTTGGCCACTACACGAGAGGGTGGCTCTGTGAAGGAAGTGACCCGGTCTTCTCCTTCCCCGCCAGTCGACCCCACTCCAGGTCAGATTCCACAGATACAAGGAAGCCGCCTGGGGCACTCCTGGAACTTACAGTTCTGGTGACTTCTGGTCATGTTCTCTGAGTCCAGTGCATGGTAGAACTCGTAGGCTGAACGGCCGAGCAGCTCTTCGGGGTGGTAGCCAACCAGTTCCGTGATTCTAAAAAAAATAAAAAAATAAAAAGCAAGGGGGGAGAGAGACGATGTGAATGTGAGCAGAGACTCAAGGAGTTAAATCCAGAAGGTAATTCCAATACATACATTCAGAGGAACACACTCTAAATTTCCCAGTCGTACCATTCGTCCAAGCAAAAAACAAAACAAGACAAAACCGTGATTCTCAGCCTACAACTATGCATCTACTGAACTTCCACTTTTCCTGAAGTTGTGTTTGGGGAGAGAGGAAAAGCACCTAACCAGGGACTCCCCACCCTACCCCAACAGACACATGTGCCTACTCTCAAGTGGCCATTGGAAGGGGCACTCACACACCCCCAACCATGTTTTTTTTGCAGGCAAGGGAACAGAGGTGCAGGGAGGGCAATTTTCTTGATGTCCATACAAGTGTCCAGGGACAGAGCAAGAATGAGAACAGGAACCTCCTAACTACTAGGTCACGTTTATTCTAGTAGAGGGTGAGTGAAAATGATGTGGCCCCAAGTGGGGAAAAGCATGGAGATGGCATGTGTGTGTGTGTCTGTGTGTGAGAGAGAGAGAGAGAGAGTGAGAGTGAGTGAGAGACAGAGAGAGAGAGAATGAATCATGGAGCAAGGAGCAACCCAGGCAGGCAGAGCCCCATCTGTGCTTAAACCTTCACCCCGTAGGTCCTGCCTGGTGACCTCAGATGCCTCTTAGAAATCAGGTTTGCCTTGGTGGGTTCTCCTCTTTGTCCCTCCCCGTCTCAAGGAAAGGAGGGAGGGCAGGAGGTGCCAAGAACAAAGAGTCACAGTCATAGAAAAGTGTGCCTCTTCATTATACTCTGATAAACAGGCAGCTCTGAAATGACAGGCCTTGACTATCCCCTGTGAGGTGTCTGGTTTTGACGGGAAGTGGACCGAGAAAGGCAGGTCCAGTGCAGAATCCCTTCACTGTCTGAGGACCCTCTGCTCTGTGCTGGAGTCATTAAAACAAAGCCCTGCCCCAGAACCACCAGATTAGCCGCTTTCCCATGTCACACGTAAATATCATTTTCTCATCTTTGTTCTCTCATACACTTTTTCTAACGGGCTCATTGTCTTGTTTACTTAGTGGATCACAAGTGAGAAGTGATGCTATAGTCTCATCGTTACAAGCTCTATTTTGGAATGCACGACTCTCGGGGCACGGCCCTGTCATTTATCCATGTTGCAGATAAAGCGTGTGGGGAGAAAGCAGAAGCGGTGGCCCCTACTCCCTCTCCCCTCTCCTCCTCCAGACGGGCTCTGCACGGGCCAGACTAAATCATCCTAAAACATCACTTCCATTCTGTCACTCCTCTCTGCAAGCACCTACAGCTCACCTATCACCAACTGCATCCAGAATAAGTAAACTTGATATAACCTCCAAGTCCCCCAGAATCTTGTCTCTGTCTTCCAAGCAGTCTGATCTGCGAATGACTGCCAGCCGGTCGTGGACCCTCCACCCTGCTGGACCCCTCTTTCGCGGCTCTCCCACCACCACCTGCAAATCCACGCTTGCCGCAGAGCTCTCTCCAAGTCCCCCTTCTCATCAAGTCCTAACAGGCGAACACAGCGTCTCAAGGAATCATGTGTTCGTCTCTCCACATTCTAGGCTGCTGACCCTTGAACTCAGGGCCCACTTCAGCCTTTGCTACAACAGGTGCTCAGTAAATACTGGAGTAGCTGACCAGTGGGTTGATTTTCTTCTGTGGCCCCAGGAACAATCAGAGCCCTGTCGACCCCAGCACTGCTAAGGGACCTGGGCCCTCGTGATCCACTTCTTCTCCTCCACCACGGTCACCTGACTCAGTGCAGGCCGGTGCCCGCACCCAGCCTCCCCTAGCCCCCACGAGATTCAGGCCATCGTCCCCTCTCCGTTCTGTAAGGCGTGTCTGGTGTTGACATGGGCAGAGGAGAGACAAGTTCGCCTGGGGAGACCTGGGGGTTAAAGCCTTTGTCAAACAAGGGGCAACAGAGCAGAGCTGACAGGCTCAGGTCTCAGCTGGTTCAGCCCCGTGGAGATATTTCTGCACAAGACTCCAGCAGCTCACCCGCGCCAGCCAGCTAGACTCAGATGGGGAGGCCCTGTCCTGTCAGCTGGCCCTGAGCACGAAGGTCTCTGAGCTCGTCAACAACACGTGCTCCTCGGCAGCCCGGCTCCAGGGATGGCACCCGGCTGCCCTCGGCCAGCCTTCCTTTCCACAGGGGTCCGATGCCTCTCAGCTCAGCCCAGGACTCAGAACCGCACCCGTGGGCCCTGCTGACAATGGGCTGGCCGTTTACAGACTCACCGATTTACCAGATAACCGACTTCTGTTCCTGGACTAGATCTAGAATTTTCTAGAGACCCTCAGAAATGAAGCTATCCTGGGAAAGATTTGATGCTACTCCCTGAAAAGATTACATTTTCTTTCAAGATTAGAATCTTCAAAATGTTCAAGTAAATGTTTATTAAAACCAGCCTCAAATACAGTATTTTTTCATCTAAATAATGCACCATCCATTCAAAGGCACACAATGGGCATGTTTTGGAAGCAGACAAACAAAACCTCAATTTCAGAATTGCCAGCTCTCTTCCCAGTAACAGCCTTCATCTATCTTGTCAACTAAAATAAATATTTAATGTCTCCTCCTTCATTCCTTTAAACAGACGACTATAAAAACTGGGAAACACGCATACCCCAAACACAATTGAAGAACGTTCAAGTAGTCAGACTTCACAAAACCAGGAAACCCCAGCTCAAAGCTGATGGTCGTTCCCCTCCGTCTGCAGGCGCGCCGACGCCACTGGGGAGGGTAACGAACCCGCTTGTTTACTGGGTCGCCCAGCACAGCACACGAGGGCCGCCCGCTCGTTTCCCGCGGTCCCAGAGGCCCCGGGGCTGGGCTGTGATAACACGGTTTCATTTGCTCTCTCCACCAGGGCGGGGGAGCCATTTTTTTTCTTTCTTTCTAATTAAGGGCCCCTGACTTTCTGGAGGAAAAAAAATTGGTTTGGGGTCACCCATAAATTTCAAAAGTCAACTCAGTAGGGCTGTTCTGTTTGCAGAGAAGAGGGAAATGTCAAAGGGCTGAATTCACCCGACTTCAGGAATGAGAACAGAGGTCCCATTTAAATAATAAGAACCAGAGCAAGGATGAGGTGAGGAGAAAGATGGAGACACGGACAGGGAAGCCACAGAAGGCAGAGGAAGAAGGAGAAAAAGAAACTAGGAAACGTAGAGGAGAAAAAAAGGTGGTTAAATTCTGAAGTTAGTGCTGTCCCAAGGAAATACTCCGGTTGAACGGTGAGAGCAGCTTCACTACGTAAAATGACAGCACCCATTGCTCTTCCCTCTGCACTTTACCCTTAAAAATGTCCAGAGGCTCTTTTCGATGTGGAGTCCCTGTGGCTGAGCACTCAGAAGAACGTTACCCTCCCGACGGCAGAGGCAGTGCGGCCTCAAAAGGCAGAAGACACGCGGGGCAGACCTGAGCTGACGCCTCTGTGGGGCGAAGCAGCAAGCGCCCCGAGCTCGCACACCACTGCGCCCCTCAAACAAGGTCTGGCTGCAGGTTCTCCCCCGCTCCCTGCACGAGTACAGGACTTGCTCGGTAAATTAACTGTGTAAACAGGATGGTTAGAGAGCAATTCAACCATGTGAGAGGATGAAAGTTTTAAGTACTTCATAACCACCTATTCGGTTTCCAAAGAACGCATTTGCTAATAAAACCATCCTTGGGTTAAAGTCTGCTTACTTTCCTCCTGCCCTCCTGGCAACAGCCTCTACGAGGGGACATCTGACTTAGCTCATTTGGTTTCTGTATGTGCTTATAAGGTTTGCACTTCCTTACTAACACCCAGACTGTTCACTAGCTGAGATTTCAATGCCTTTTGTTTTAATGTATTTCTATCCAGATTTTGTTTGCTTTAAACAATAATACTTTTGCCTTGTGTTTTCCTCACACAGCACAGGGTTAAGTGAGATCTACACAACCAGCTCTGTAGTTAATGGATAATCAACTTCCCACCTGTTGGTGCGCTGTGTTTCAGGTGGGTGAATTTATACCCAGGAGGGTAGCCCTGGCTTAATCCTGGACCGACCCACATGCCACCAAATGCCACGGCTGCCTTTCATCACCTTGAAACCCACAAGCAGCAAGGGGAAATTCGCTGTGAATTGTAGCGAGAGAGAAGCAGATCATGTAGAAGGATAATTTTTGAAACATGAGGTCTATTAAACTTTGAAATAAATTCCAAAGAGCATTTGTAGAGCTGCCTCTTCCAAGGCGTATTCTGAGCAGATTAGATTAGACCGGCTCACGTATGAGCAGTTCTCATACATATGCCCAAACTTTGTTATGGCTGATTTCAGAACATTATTGTCTGGAGGAGACACAGATGCACCAGGAGGGCATCTGAAGTTGCTTCTAACTCAGGGATTTAAAGAAACACAGTATACTCTCTTACACCAGATAGGTGGAGAAAGACTACTGTGTTATGTCTGCAGAAACATTTAGAATAGACTAAATATGGAACTAAACACTATGTATATTAATCTGAAGGATCACCCTGAAGATGCCCCCTATTCTATTTAAAAAGTAAAATACTTTGTTAAATGTATCTCAATATGCGATGAAAGTACATAATCTTTTACTACTAATTTGTCGAAGTCAGCCTATTTTCTTCTCAGACTTTAACACTGTTGCCTTCCAGGTGTTTTGATGTGTGTGTGTTACAGCTCATGGCTCTTTCTAATTTTGCTGACATTCTCTCTATGATCCTCAGCTATCCCCCTCACTTTTATCATCATTATTATTGCAAACTTTGTATAAAAAGAATTCATCAGAAATTTGATCCACAGAATTTACAATGTAGGCATCTCAACTTATTAAAAACCATAACTCCTGACATTATTACACCCTAAATTGCCTTAATCCAATGACAAATCGGGGCTGCCCTCAGATTCTTTATCTGTAAAAATTACACAATGCTCTTTGTTAATTTGAAATTTTTATTGCAACCTTGATACTTTCCCTCAGTGACACTGCTCTTATCCACAAAACACGCTTTCATAATCAGTTTCTAAGATACAAGAGAACTCATAAAACGGACAAACGTGCAGTGGGCTTACGAACATTATAGAGTTTGACCCACTTTTTGATGTCTTGGCTTTTTTCAGTTATCCTCTTTCTCCACTAGGTGGCGCCTCCATGTGAATTTAAGAACCACCGTATTTAAAAGTTCAATGACTTGGAAACAACTTTTGTCTTCCTTTTGGGTGAATGGAATGTTCTATTTGTACCATCCACCTTGGTTTTATTAAGTTGCTCATGTCTCAAAATCCAGACCCTTGGAGATCAGGGATCATCTCCTTTACTTCCTTGATATACGCAGTCTCTGGCACCAGGTCAGATACATAGCAGTGGCTCAATAACTAACAGCTCATTAATTTAGGAAACAGAGTATAACGCCTCTGCATGAGTCGTCAATGGGCATGAGCCCACCCACTACCCTGAAAATTAGGGTCTTCTTTAACCTCGCTTCTCAACTTTACTCCCCCTAACCAGAGCAGTCGGCTCTATATACAAATAAATGGAACTGATGTATAAATTGTTATTGAATTCACTTCGTAAACTATTTACTATGTTTTCAGCTAATTAATACAGGGCATGATACGGCCCTCTGGCTAATTATTAAGAGGAGCAGGAAGAACGATTCTGAAGCATCTGCATTCCTCTATTCCATTTCAATGTTCGGGAGTAAGTTGTGTCAGTCGATTGATTCTGGAAACCTGAGAGTTAAACACAAGATTAGAGTTCTCTTTTCTTTCTATTTTATTTCCCTCCCCTATTTCCTCTCTGTTCTCCCTTCTCTTTTTCTCCATGCCGCTTTTCTTTTTTTGCTTGATTGTGTCTGTGGTCTGAATATACCTAAGAAGAAGTACGAAACAGCCTCAAAAGTGACTTCTGTGGATTCTAATTGCCTTACATTTTCATCAGATTCTAATTTTCCCATTGGGAAAATAGTCATCTTTGGGGGAAATCACAGTCCCTCATGTGTGTCAGATGTCATTAAATCTAGTGAATTCCTTGATTAAAGTGAAATGCGCCCCTCGCGCCAGGCTATGATATGCTAAGTGTTGATTTTTGAAGCATTGATCTTGGAAGAGGTATGTGTTGGAGGTGGGAAGGTGTAGAGGGAGGGTGAGATGGAGAGAGGGAAGGAGGGAGGGAAGGAGGGAGAATGTGTGTTTACCTTTCCCCATCCCAATACAAAGAGTGAATACAAGACAAGCTACCAGAACCAAAAGATCCTAGTCCTCATCAAAGCAATTGAGAAATAACATGTAGGGATTAAGGACTTAAAATAGTCACTTTATAAACTGTCTAAGCCATGTCTGTGCCCTTGTTAACTAATCTGCTAATCCGTTAAACGCAACGTGTGTGGCACAGCATTCTGTGTCTTCAAATGCCTCCGCATCCATCCACCCAGCACCACTGAATGTGGAGTTTGGGCCACGTAATTAGATTTGAAAAGCAAGATTTTGCTGAAAGTGCAATGTGTCCGGCAGACCTTACAAGCAGTATCACCTTCCACATACTGAGTCACAAAGCCCTAAATCGCTGGTTCCTTCAGGCCAGGATCAACTTTGCCTACCAGCCCTGAACAGAACCAAGAAGTCGGCCAGGGCCTCTCCCCTTTCTGGAAAGAGTTTCTCCACTCTTAGGCACCCAATTCCTCATGTTCTTTTGTCCCCTCTTCATTCACCCACAGGTTAGATGCTTTCAGGTATGACCTGAAATTCATTCAAAATAGACAATGAACGAGTGAAAACTTCAAATTACCTTCTCCGAGGATTTTTTCCTTCACTTTAACAAGGATAAAGTCTTGAGCTTAAAGGAAAAAAAAAAACCCAAAAGACCCTTTTCTGTTATCCAGGGATGAGAAGTGATTTTCTAGGAGAGCAGACCCGTGCTTGTGGGGTCATGTCAGGGCTGTGCTCCCCACAGCTTCCACCGTCCCGGGCACCCCAGCCACTGCCGGGCTGCACAGCGAGGGCATGCAAGCGCCACCCCACCCTGGAGCTGGACACTTGTGGGCTCTTTAGCAGGATCACCCTGTCACTGTGGAAGATTAGGGAGAGGGGTGCACATCACAGAACTATGTCTTCTCCTCAGAATGTTCGTGTGTGTACAAAGACTGCCTCTAATAAATAACCTTACACACAGCATGGACTTCTCTAGTGCCTGCCTTTGGAATATCTTTCTAATTATCCTCATCATCACAATAATGACAACACAAAAAGCCATCATAAGTGCTGACTATCAAAGTTCCAGGACACAGGTCACACAGGTGACATTTTCTCCCTATGAGGTTGGAGCACTCCTTTCTACATCTAGAACTACCCACTGGCCCCAAGAGCCTTGAGTCTGGGCACTAAACTGTGGTCAGAACTCGGGGACAGGAATGACTCGAGGATACTTCTACAAAAGTTCTTAAATTGTGCCTGGAGAGGGTGTCTAAGAAGGGGGAACCAGCCATCACCAGGCCAGTCTCTAGTCAGGGGGGAGAAACTCAGTCGAGCCTGGAAAGTAGGCACCCCCAACAAAGAACCCCAGACACCCCCCAGGGTGTCCAGTGGATGAGAGAAAAGTGGGCGGGCCTGGGGAGGCTGAAGCTCTCTCCCAGGGTCTGTGGCTTCCTGTCGGCTGGGAAAGTGAGGCAGTCTCTTGCTGGTAGCCTCATTCTTACAGGCCCCCACGCTCCCCGTGCCTCCAGTAGTGATCTTGGCCCCTTAAGTTTAGTGGGGAGACAAGCTCTGGGGGAGGGCAAGGGCTGGGAGCAGGATCCTGGCAGGAACAGAGAGCCTCCAGTCGGTGGTGGGATTTGTACTTCTCCAAGTGCTTCCACAGCCAACATCTCATCTGACAGTGAGCCCCGAGACAGGTGGAGAACGTATTCTCCTCGGCATTTGACAGAAGAGGAAGCTGAGATCTCAGGGTTTCTGTAGAAACCCTAGAAGGTGAGAGGGGAGTGGCTGGAGCAGCAAAGAGTTGCCACAAGAACGGTGACTCTGGACAAACACGGTGACTCTGGACGTTGCAGAAAGCTGGGGTCAGGTGGGGAGATCCTGAAGGCCGCGTCGGTCATGCATTAGTCAGCAGGCTGCAGTAGCATTTCCGAGAGCCAGGCCTGCCTGCCCAGCCCCTTCTCCTGGCCTGGCCTTCCTTCTCTGATGGTGGTCACTGCTCCGCCCACACTCCCGATGCCCAGGCCCAGCGGGGAGGGCAGAGACCAGGCAGTGGGGGAATCAGAGCTGCTCCCCGCCACCCTTCCCATGACAGCCCAAGCCTCTTCCCTCACCTCAAGCTAAAAACTAGAGTGACAGGGACTACATGTGCAGTCTCAGATGTTCTTCCAACTGCTTTAACAGAGAAACAATTTAGGGCAAGAATCACAGCTAACACCGAACACCTCCCATTGGACTTGAACTTAGGCCGTCTTGCCCAGTCAATACTCTTAATAACCATTACACTCTCCCGTAAGAGAATTTCCAGTCGGGGCTGGTTTGGGGTTTAGAGTCTGGCTTAATTCCCTCTATCAAATAGCTTTCCAGCTGGGCTGGACAGTAGCTGGAATGGAGGCGACACAGGAGGAGCAAAAGCTGAGCAAAGAGCTCATTATTGGAAGAGAACTTGCAGGAGCCATGTGGCCTTGGGCAGCTTCCAGGTCAGAAGCCGAAGCTCCCAGCTGGCCTCTGAATTGGGGGTGCTGATGGAGACCTCTAGATGCTCGTCTCCTGGGGAGGGGGAGTGGCCTGGAGATCTCCCGGGAGCCTGATACACAGGCGGAGGGATATGTACACACCACAGCACTCCACCACGGCGACAGCTGCCCCCCAGGGCAGCCCTGCAGCCAGCCGCTGTGTCAAGGAGAAACCACCGCATACGGTGTGAGGAACCCTTCGGCGGCACTGATAGGATGGAACAGAGACCTCACCCAGCCATACAACACTTCTGCCCAGACGCATACCTGGACCACAGGCACCGGCCACTGACGCACACAGGCACAAGCACGCAGGCCAGACGCACACACCTGTCGTCGCAGTAGGTGAACTTCATGTCCATGCTGTGGCGGCTCAGGAAGGTCTTGCTGTCCAGGGGGATGTCCATGTGGGACGGGTGCTGGATGGGCTCGCACATGATGATGAGGCAGGACAGCAGCGGCTCCTTGCAGCCGCACAGACCTCTGTGAGGGGGGCAGCTGTTGTAGACCTTCACCTGGCCCGTGCAGTGCAGGACCTGGAGACCAGCCACGGAGGTCAGCCGTGGGGCCGAGAGCACGGGGGTGGGGTTGGTGAGGCAGGCTGGGGACCCCAACCCGGGCCTGACGTCTCCTACCTTCCAGGTGGCTGACTTGAGGTTGACGGTTCGGCCTCTGTTGGTGACCGTGCACTTCATCCTCATGAAGAAGTCCCGCTCTGTGGAGACATCTTTGCTTTTCTTCCCAAAACCAGAGCCTGGATGGGGAAAGGGAGGCGGAACCGGCTGAACTGGCATTTGTGTTCATATGCAGAAGGAGGACCCTGCTGTACTTTCTCTGGGGGACGTATTTGTGTTTTTCCCCAGGAGTGGCTCCCTCAGCACGCAGGCCTGCCGTGAACACGCAGCACCACCCTGGCCCGAGGACCAGTGCTGCCTCAGATCCGCGGCAGGTGGGGGCTGTTCCACGGCTTTACTTCCCATGGCACCTCGCACGTGGTCAGTGCTCACTTCAGAGCGGCCAGACAATGAGCGACCATCAGTCGTAACCTCAGCAAACCTCTCCTGGGCAGGCCCAGGCTCCCTAGGAAGTATTCCAAGGAATAGCCTGGCAACAGCACAATGACTCCGACAAGGAGGATAAGCCTCTCAGGCGAGCAACTTCCCTCAGACATCCCTGTCTCTTCCTCATTCCTGCCCCTCACGAATTTGAACCCGCCAGGGCCCTATTTTCTACCTGCAATGGCTGCATGCAGGATCCTGCACCATTAGCTTTCTCCCTAAAGCGACGTACATCAGGGCGTGAGAGAGGCTGCAGGTCCGAATCCCCTGGGATTTGGTGAGCAAGTTCACCTTGACAATTAACTCTACACGGATCCTTTCTCAGCCAGAATAAAATACATCACCAAGACAAACAAGACTGCTTCCTTCCTTACAGTCTCCAAATATCCTGCTCATCCAGAACTTTTCCCACTTTTTGTAAAAACAACAACAAAAAAGTAATGCACACACTAAGTGCCAGCTGAGCCCCACTGCCCACGTGTAAATTCTGCCTCCACCACTCCCATCCACCCAGCACCTTCCAAGGTGCAGTCCTGCCCCTGCCCAGCATCTCAGAACAATCTAGAACCTTGTTTCAAATAGTCACACTCCTCCCTCCAGGCATGGCCACCAGCCTCTGCCCTTAACCCCCTCTGGGAGCCATGATTTATTTGAGTGACATGTCCCCAAACTGCTGCACGTCTAATGAATTGTGGCATCTTTGAATCTACCTTAAACATCCCTAGGAGAGCCCACTAAATAAACCAAATAGTGAATCCTTTTTTAAAGAGAGAACACTCCTCCATCATGATTATAAAAACATCTCTCCCATACTGGGAGATCTATGTTTCTTGTAAGTTTCATTTCCATAGGTGGGGTTTGCATATCACGAGATATTCTTGTATGTTGGGGCCTGGACCCGACACAAGGACGAGCTCAGGCGCTGGCGTAAGTGGAGGGCCTCATTTGTGGCTGTGGCATGGGCTATGATTGTGGCCTCCTGACCTGTTCACCTCTGAATTCTCCCCATTCTGCCACTTGGTTAATTTTTCTAAATGTAGCTCCAGTCAGATTAGCCTACACCTGCTTAAACATTTCCAATAGCTCCCCTCTGTCTACAGGATGAAGTTCGAGGGCCAGATACCTGGCCTTCAAAGCCTTCCACAATCAGCCTCACAGCCTTATCTTCCTCTGGCCGCTCACACTAACCCTTTGCTTACAGATCATGTGTCCACTCAGGTCGGCACCTTCAAGGAGGCTTTGCTGATTCACTGAGTTTGATCCCAAGTCCTCGATACAGGGACCAAGAGACCTAAAGTTCTACTCAGATCAATAGAGCACAGTTATGCTGAATCATGGCTCTCGAAAGCTGGAAGGTCCTAGACTCTGCCTGGTCCAATACTGTCAATTTGAAATCAAAGACTCCAAGGAACAGAGAAATGAAGTGACTTGGTTCGGGTCACATGGGCCGACTGAGACTAGGGTCAGAGGTTAAGCTGAGACTGAGAATTTAAGGGCCAAGTGGTTTCCAAAGTAGAGAAGAAATCAGACATTTTGATTTTCTCAGGCTTTCAGAACCTGTTTTAGAAAAGGATTTGGAAAGTCTGGTAGCCTCTTCCTCTTGGAACCAAGTAAGACTTTCTTGGTAGCAGAGAAGCTGCCGAGCAGCCCACAGAGGGCTCCTCAGCCCGTGTGCTCCTGGGGCTGGGCTCACGGGGCCTTCAGGGATGGGGCAGAGGGGCTGGGGAGGAGGTGCTGGCGGGGGTGGGGCAGGTGGCTGTAACCCTGCATTTCGCAGTCTCAGTCTGTACCAAGGGTAGAAGTGGGCTAATGAAGTGTCTGCTTCTGAAGTGTGTGTGGTAGTAACGGCAAAACCTTGCAGGCTTAGTAGCACTGCCCCTGTTACTCAGGTTGGATAAGCACACACACCACGGCAGTGACAAGTGAGAGGTGGTAAAGGGGTGTCTAGACTTGGGCTGAATCTGCCCAGGACAGAGACTGACTCTCAAGTTCAGAAGGGACCTGGAAAATCACTGAGCCCTGCTTCACCGCAAAGCTTCAGTCTGCGTAATAATATCTCTATTTGTGCCTTTGCTTGAATGTCCCCAGTTACAGGAGATGAAGCAGCAGCTTTGACTGTCATTGCAAAGTGCCTTCTGCGTGTCCCCAACCACTGGCATCTGCTGGGTGCCCCACAGGTAGGGTGCAGTGCATGAGACCTTTTAACTCTCTTCTCTGCCAAAAACTACCTGTTCCTATTTCTTATCACCAAGGACCCAGATTCATTCCTTGGTACTAGGGTAGCTAGTCTCCAAAGGTGGCCCCAGTGAGCCACATCTAGCATTCATGGCCGTGCATAGTTCCCTCCCACACTGAGCGGGGCTGACTTGTAACTCACTTTAACAAGAGAATGGGGCAGAGTGGTGCTGGTGCAGTTTTAGGACTAAGCCTTTGGAAGGCCTGGCAACTTCTACTTCTGTACTTTCTGGGAGACCTGAGCCTCCAAGTCAGAAGTCTGGCTCCCACACAGAGAGGGAGAAGCTCTGAGACCCCATGGAACGAGAGAGGGGTCCAGCTGTGACAGCATCCCAGCTGAGCCCCAACCTCCAGCTCCTGGCCACTAGGGGTCCCAGAGGTTTGGGGGAGCCATCTAGTCATCCCACCAAGTCCAACCCCGAGATGATGGCAGCCCAGCTGCCATCACATGGAGCAAAAGAACCATCCACAGAACCCACAGAATCATGAGAGTTAATAAAATGATTGCTTAAGCCACTATGTTTGGGGTGGTCTCTTACACAACTATCACACGGACAACCACAACACTTCCCATGAACACTCTGGCACAGATGAGCTGACTGGTTTGCGTGGCATCACCTGGCAGAGATGCAGCACTCAGGTGATGAAACCTCCTGGAGGCAGTGTCCTAACCCAAGGGCGTGCCCTAGGAGTATGCTGTCAGGCACCAGGAAGAGCCAGCATGAGGCAGTCCTGAGCATGGGGCCTTCCGGTGCCTGCAGTCTCATCTCACAGGCTCTGCCGGGTGTTTTAAGGATGTCAGTTTTTTCTCAATCATTGTGGCTGTGATCCATCCATCCTAACTTGTAGACAAAGGGGATGCAGATGCCCTCCCAGGTGGCGTAAGAAGGAAGGAAACACAACGAAGAGTACCTTACCATTTTTGAGACTCAGGTTCTCACGGATCTCCTCATGGTCACAGGGGTGAGTGAAGTCAAAGATGCTGTGTCCTGTGAGCTCCACCTGTTTCAAAAACAAGGTTGGGCTTCATTAGCCCTGACACTGAAGAAGTCTCCAAGAGGAAGCTGGGCCCCTTCCAGATTTGGAGATGGGGAGGAGACTGTCATATTCCAGTCTGCAGGTCTGCAGACATACAGGTGTAATAGAGTTCATGACTGACATCATTCACATGGGTGGGCCTGTTCACCTGGTTGGCAGAGCCGTCCACCAGAACAGCCATCAGCAATGCCAACCCCAATGCCAGGGGCTGAAAGTGTGTTCCTGAGATTTGCACCTTCAGATCAGAGAGGAGCAGGGGGGGCACATGCAGAGAGAGAGGTCAGGAGGGATGTGATCAGAACCTTCCACTCATTTCTACCCCCAAATGGAAACATTTTTCTTTTCTGAAAGAGCCAAAGGAGGGTGTCACCTGTGTGAGTCCCATGAACTTGCTGATGTTTTCTGACAGAAAGATCATGTCGCCATCTTGGGTCACCACGGCGATGAAACCCTCCAAGGCTTTCAGATACAAGTTGTCCATCTGCTGGTCAGCCTCAGCTTCAGACTCATTTTCAGAGCAAACTGAAAAGAGAGGGGGTTTGGGCAGCTTGCATGAATGTGATGGGACCGGTATGGATGGATGCCTGCCAGGGATGGCTCAGAGGCATGACGTGAACTTTCCTGGAAAAGCACACGGCCCGTAATGTAAGTGTCTCCCACACACTCGAGCAGCAGGCGTCTGATGAGCACCAGGGCACAGAGGACACCCTGCTGGGGGCTTTGTGGGCACATGGCTGTGGTGGTGCCAGGGGCGAGGGTGGCGGCAGCAGTCACAGACATAGCAGCAGTCATAGCAGTAGTGGGGACAGTGATTTTTGCTAATGTGCACTGAGCAATGACAACATATCAAGTACTGCACTGAGCATGCTGTGTAATCTTCAAAACACCTGCAGCATGGGTACTATTCTTTGCCTCATCTGACAGATGAGGCTTACAGAGGTTAGGTAATTTATCCATGGTTATAAAGGCTGCAGCTAGTGGACTCGGGCAGCTGAATCCAGAAGCCACACTCCTAACCATTTATAGGCTTTGGAGTCAAGTAAACACAGATTCCGTTCCCCCCATTAGGCTATGACTCTGAGGAAGTAACAACCTCTCTGAACATCAGTTTCCCACCAGCTAACTGGAGATAATAATTTCTATCTCTTTGAGTTGTCAGGATTAAGTTAGCATGTAAAATGCTTAAGACGTACCAATCATTGTGAATTCTTTCCCCCTTCTGCTCCCTCCACGACACTGTCACTGCCGTCAAATCGCTCCTAACCTAGCTGGGGGATGTGTAGCACACAGAGATGCAAATCTAGGTAAAAGTTCCCGGGTGACAGACCTGGGCGCCCAAAAAGAATGTAGACAGTTAAGTGCTGAAGGGTTCCCAGGAAGAGGGGGTCACTTTGGTGTGGTCAGAGACAAGTGCTCAAAGAAGGGCTCTGGAAGAGACTCTTGAAACAGGGATTTCACTCTGTTAAATGAAGGAAGGGCTTTCCGGAGCCCAGTGGGTTGGGCAGATACCAGAAAACATAGAGGTGGTAGAGCCTGGAGCAAGCTCCCTCTGGGGACTCTAGTTGAAGAGGAGGGTCCGTTTCCCACTCTCATCGATTGGCCTCATGAGGTGGTCCAGGTCCCAGAAAAGGAGCATCTCAGACCTTTGCTTTGGGGAGATTCATCCAGCAATGCATGCAAGACAGTCTGGAGAGAGTGAGGACCAGAGATGTGAAGCCACCTGAAGAGGCTACTGTGTTAGTGGCCGGCTGCAGAGGTGGTTGCTAGGGGCAACCTGGGAAAGCACCCGCCCCTCCAATCAACCACTTTGAGTAGCCCTGGCATATCGAGGACACCTCTGCTATCTGCAAAATTTAGACCCAGCTCTTGTCCCAGACAAACAAAGCTCTCAGGCCCCAGGCCCTTGTTTCTTAAGATCAGACCACAGATTTTATTTCAGCCCTGTCTCTCCTACTGCATTATTTAACTCCAAACATACATTTACTTATAAAAATTTGTATTCATCCAGTACAAACATTAAGCCAAGTATGCCTCCCTATTTTACAGAACAAGGGGATTAGAGAGTAATTTGTCACTTATAAAAGTTATATTCACTTAACTAAAAGGAGTCTTTCAAATCGAGACTGTTCTAGGGAATGTAAAACGCAGTTGGATTTATGGGCCACTTGGCAAGGGGCACATGGATGCCATGAAACGAGGTTCAAGGGCCTTTCTGCAAGGGCACTGGATTTGTTTAGTTCTCTTTTCTCTTTTCCCTTGAGCCCCTAAATTTAAGCTCTGGGTCATATGCTGTTATTCCTCAGGAAGAACAAATCCAAATTAGGAGATGTTCCTACCAAGGGGCTTCTGTGGCATCACTGGGGACTAGTCACCTTCAGGACACATGACTGGCAAAAAATGCCAGAGTCACAAACGCTGCCCAGGGACAGGCCAGCCTTTAGAGCCAAGAGTTGGGCTGTACAGTGTAGTGTCTTTGTGACTTCCCTCTATTTTGCTAAAATGGTAGAACAAAATGAGGGAAATTCTTTCCCCTTCACACCCTGATTCAGGCAGCGAGCCTATGGGAGGGGAGGCTACCTGGGAATGACCCACACTTGATCCCTGCTAACTGATTGGTTAGCTGAACTGATGATAACGAACCAGAGTTCCCCATGCTCCCGGTTAACGCCTATATTTAAACAGGGGCTTCAGGAGACTTCAAACTGGAACATGCACCAGAGCCACTGAGGAGACTTGCTAAAACAAGGATTTCTGGGCCCAGTGCAAAATAAAAATGTGGGACCTCTTGTTGAAAAATTAAACCATGCCCAGGGCCCTTCTAAGTGCGGAAATCCCCATGGGACTCCATGGGTCACACACTCGTGAAGCCGGTCCTGGATGGGCCCCGGCCCACAGTTTGATTCAGTAGCTCTCAGGTTGGGAGGGAGCTGAGAAGCTGCTTTTCTAACAAGTTCCCAAGTGATGCGGATGCCGGTGGCTCTAGGACCCCTTGCAGAGAATCATGGCCTGAACTCAAGTCCTACAAGTGACCCTAATACCAGGAAAATCAACCTATTTTGGCAGGTAGTGAACTATTTGGGGGGTGGGTGAGGAGCTGTAATCAACGCTGTTAAAAAATCACACCAGATAGGTGAGCACCTCCTCCAGACAGTAAGGGCCCGCCCTGTGATTTCTGGCCTACTGAGGAGATTTTTTTTTCTCTTCAGTTTCTTTGATCTCAGTGGCAACACTGACTTCAAAATCTGGAGACAACCCTATTTGGGTTAACTAGGTCCAGAGGAAATAGTTCTGCTTAAAATTTCCTGTTTTTAACAGTTCCAACACGGCCAAACTGGTCTCCATCCATGCCCAGTACCCTCGCTTCCAGGAGGTGGCGAAATTGGCCACAGCAGCTGGCCTCTGGGAGGGAGGGAGAGGGGCGCTTGGGGCCCACGAATGGAAACAGAACGTCTTGGAACTGAAGTCACAATGTCTGGGGGACCAGGAAGTCAGCAGCCGCCCCTGGGGACCCTGGGACAGCAGGACCTCCTTCCTCTGTGGAACTGTTTGCTCCCACAGCACCTACTCATCCTTCTGGGGTTTCAGAAGGAACCTGGCAGCTCACTGTCAGATTGGAGCCGAGGGTTACAACTGCAGGGCCCAAGGCGGCCCTCCACCCGAGGGGCCAGGGCTCAGGCACATCACCCCAGCTGAAAACGGCACTGCTTTTTCAGTCCTGCTGTTCCATGGGAACATCATGTCTTCTGACTGTACCATGAATCTCCAACTCAGTGCGAGGCACGTAGAAAACTCACTCACTACGTAGTTACACTCCTGCTATGTGTCTGCTGGGAACGGGGCTATCTGCCAACAAGTGTCACTTACTAGGTGCTCAGGCCTGTCCTAGGGAGACACAGGTGTAAAAGCAATCCTTTCCCTCCAGGAATCTACGGACTGGTGGGGAAGATGCAGTTAAATCACAGTCAGGCTGCATAACAATCCAGGAGTCCAGGGTGCCGAATACAGAGGAGCCCGTAGTAGGTGCTGAGTAAGCCCCCAGTGGGGTCTCTAAATTGCCTGGGGTTCCAGGTCTCACCGACCTGCTCCCCAGGACCCTTCAGGGTCTGACCCCAAAGAAGAGGGGCGGGGCACGCAGGTCAGAGGCACGCTGCTGAGATGAAGCGTGCTGGGCCGGGGAGCACAACAAGAGTCTTTAATGCTAAAAATAGCCCCGGTAAACAGGCTTTGATGACTCCCCACAGCCAGGATATGCGCGGGCTGAGGTTTCGGAGCACTTTTTCCGGAGCACCGCTCATTTCCTTCAGGCAGCACCGCCCGTGAGGGGCGGGACCCCGCGGGCAGCAGGAGCTGGGCGTCTGGGGTGAGCAGGCAGGGTGGCGGGGCAGAAGCTCCTGACCAGGCCTGAGACCAGACCAGCACAGGTGCTGCTGGTCTGAGTGCACTTTTTTTCCACTGGGGTTATCATTCCTGTTTCCTACTCTGAGAAGTCCCAAGACTGCTTTGACTGCTCTTTCAGCCACTCTGAGTGATCTTCCTGGGGCAGCTGGGCTTGGGCAGGCCTTCACCACGTAGTCACCACTGAAGGGGCTTTCCTTTCACACCGATTCTTCCCCTCCAGCCCTCCCAGGCCCGTAGACCCATTGACTGCTCCACCCTACCCCCGGTCCTGGTTGTGCCAACTGCAAAGAGGCCCCAGTCAAGCCACGAGGAAACTAATTTTGAATCACTTACTGGATCCATAGCCACACCTTTCAACTCCACCATGACCAGGGAGTAGGCTTAGGCTGCCCTGACATTCTGGCAGAAGGCACTGTTTTATCTGACCCTGCTGGCCTCCCAAAGGGCTTTGAAAGTCCACCATTAGAAATTCATTCCTTTGTTCTGTACATAATTTATTATCCTATCTTACATCTCAGTATTACTCTTCATAAGATGCAGCACAGGGCTGGGGTCAGCACATACCTCCAGACTGACCAGACCGTTTTAGGTTAAAGGGAATGATCTGAACAAGGCCAGTATCTCTAGAAGAGATTGTACGTTAGCTGCTCTCAGCCACTAACATCCCAGCAGGAATCAGCCTATCAGCTCTTCTCCAAATAGGACAGAAAAAGGCCTTGGTTTGGAGGGTAGGTGGGGCACAGTAAAAAAGCAGGAGTGAAAACCTGGGATTAGAATTCTGAAAGTGGGGCATCAGAAGGCACCGGAATAAATCACACCTGCCTCTGGTCCCACTTTTCCTGCATGAAAAGGTCACGGTAAAACACTTTAAAACCACCTGTCTTCTTTTATGTCTTTCCCGTAGTGGTCTAGGGATCAGGAAGTCACACTGTCTTATTAACACTGCTGTCTTCGCTATGCAAATGTATCAAATCAATAATAAACCTGACATTTCTTTTTAGAAACCTCACTTCACACTGACCTCTAGCTCTTGTGTAAAATGAATCTGATTTCTCCTTGTGCGGCTGTGGGGAAGCCAAAACTCAATTCTACAGTGAAAAGCCAATTTTGCATATTAACTGCGGGTTAACGCCCTCCAAATGCAGGAGTGACTCTCATCTGGTTACAGTTTGTGGGGCTCATCTTGAAAGAGGATTTAAGACAATCAAGCGGTATTTCCAATGATGTTCCCATCAGAGTGTGTTCTGTTCTCGGCCCAGCGTGGAAGCTAATATCATAAAGCTATTGTTGCAGTTTGCTTCCTGTGATACAAATCTCAATCGGCCGCCCAGACTCCCAGCCTGAATTTCTCAGCGTTGAGGTTTCCTCTCCAACATTCCCACACAGAACAGCCTACTGTGAAAATCAAAGGGAAACGTGTTACTAAGTAAAGAAGAAACTTTTCTAAAGCAAAACCTGGTCTTTTTTAGCCTTTTGAACTCTGAGGTATGCAACCAGCTATTTCCTATCATAAAGTGAGCCAATGTCGGCACTCACCTTTGTTAGAAACGCTTCAATAATGAATCTGTGGTTTGTTTGGACTTGGGAAAGCTAGGCAACTCTGCATTTTGCTAGAAATTGCTAGAAGGTGGGTAAGAGGACAGTAAGGGTCGACTGTGGGTTTTCTTTGACATCATTTCTCCAGAAGCTTATAATTATTATAAATCGATTTGCTTGTTCATAGTAAGTTTTATTTCTAAGCTATAACTTATTGAGAGCATAATGTGTGTCAGGCAAGAGGATCAGGGCTTTTATATCCATTATCTCAGTCTTTGAACAGCAATACAAATACTGGTATCCCTTTTTGTGCAGATGAGAAAGTAAAGCTCAAAGGTAGTAAAGAGGTTTTCACAAGGCTGCAGGGAAGGCAGGCAGCCGGACAGAGGATTCTGGGCCGGTCCATCTGCCCACAAACCCTGTACTTCTTTTTGTTGCACTGCATGTTTTAAAGAAGCAAACGTGATTTAAAAAGAACAAGATCCTGTCTCACATAGAATTCCTGAAAACAATTTCAACAACGGGTCTAAAGAATGTGTGGCAGGAGCCTGGAAGAGAGGGCACTGAATGCCTCCCCTCTCCGCCTCCCCCGGGCGACGCGGGTTTTACGAGAACTGCTCCTTCAAGGACGCCAGGACCAGATAGCCAAATGCGGACACTTTTCATCCTTTCAGTCATTTCTTTCCTCTGGTCGGTCCAGGGCCAAGCCCAGCCAGAGGGCAGGCACTTGGTGTCCACGACTTGCAACAGCCCCTGTGAGGGGATGTGTGGTGTCTCACTGTGGCCACTCTGCTCCTATCTCCCTGGGCGTGCCTGGCACATGAGGGTTCACACCAGCACACACGCAGGCAGATGTGCTCAGAGCCTCTGATATGTGCCCTAAGCCAACTCTGAAGCACTGGGGAGGACAGTTATGTGCAGAAGAGCACAGAAACCAACGCCGCGCACCAACAGCAAGGGGAGAAGCAATCACTGAGCGTGTGAGGCTCTCCCACAAACGCCGCTATTGAAGGCTGGCCCCCATTCCTCTGTTTAACTTTGGTTCCTCTGGCAAGGGAGAACCCTTCTCTTCCCTCCACTCCAGCCCTCATTGACAACTTCACCTGACCAGGGTTACAGAATGCTCCTGCCCTCCATGTCCCTCCTTCCCATGGGTCAGGATTCAAAAGAACTTGAACTCTAGGTGCAATTCCTTATGTATTAAATGTGTGATGCTGAG